GCCACGTAGAATTAAGGCAGTTCTGAAGGCGAAAGGGGGTCAAACACCGTATTAGTATGGTGTTCCTAATAATCCTTTAGGTGAGTGTATACAATACATGGCCACTGCAAAAAAAGCAATTACTATCTTTTCCATTTGTTCTTTTGATAACACTGAAAATAATTATTTTTGGTATAAATTACAATCCACAGAGTATACCCATTATTATTATTCTTAAAAAACATTCACAACAAAAATCTGACATTCTAACATGTACTGAAAGACCCCTCCTACTAGGATTCAAGGATATGGTGGTAAATCAATCCTGTAATCCTGACTGCAAGTGTATGCTGAGATTAATATCTTATCATGCATTAAAAATATTGCAGTCTCCTCCTGTCAAGAGGCATTTCCTATAGGAATCCCACATCTTTTACTGATACTCTATCAATTCATTTTCTGTACCTGCACTTGCTATTCAGGGTTGTGGGGGGTCTGGAGGTCATCTCAGAAGCTATGGACACAAGACAGTGAATAATCCAGGATGGGGAACCAACCCATTGCAGGGCACACTCACACACTGTTCACAATTTGGTAATTCCAATTCACCTTAGCACATTTTTGGACCGTGGAGTTCGTGAAGGAAACCCCATGATAATACAGATAGAACATGCAAAATCCACATAAAATGGAGCCACGACAGAGACCCGAACCCTGGTCCCTGAGGTGTGAGGGTACAGTGCTAACCATTGCCACCCCTTCATTAATACTTATTTAATTAAAGTTGTTTTTAGGATACTGTAGCTGTGCATATTGTTCAACACAAAATGTAAAGATGGATTTTAAAAAGCAACTGCTTTATCTCTTATTGTAGTTGTTACAGCTCTCATATCCAGCATTCAGGTACTGTATCTGACACAATGTACAAAGAATACTAAGTAATAAAAATACTAATTTTAGTAATTTTAGTATATTTACTAAAAGTACTAAAAATAATAATAAGTAATAACACTATTATATTATATTAAAATCTTGCACTTAACTCACTAAAACTAACAAAAAATGAAGTGTATGTCCAATACATATGTATGCCTATGGAGCAGCATACTTTATTGGTTTTCCCCCGCTGTTTTCCCCCTTGTCATTATTGATCTCTTGTGCTGTATCAAAAAACTGTCTTTATCTGGGAATGACATTGCAGAGTATTAAAACTAGATGCTATCAGCATGACAAAAATGTATTCCCCAGACCATCCCGTCACCTCCATCTAATCCATACTACTGCCACACCCACCAACCTCTATTTCTACAATGGGATTGTATGGTATGTATTTTTTATGGCATTCATACTTCATAATGACAGAATATTAGACAGAATTTTCAAAAGCAGTGCTATTCCACTATCTTGGCAAGGGTGGGAGCTCCAGCACGAAAAAATTCGGCAAAAAAAAATACCACAGTTTATGAAAAACAGTACTGTAAACAGGCCTGCCCTACACACTCTTCCAACCTCTCCAAAATCTCTATTAAAAGCCAAACTCTGTGATTTTTCTCAATGTTATTAAGTTTACCAGACCTGCACCTGTTCTTTCATGTTCGTCCATTGACTAGGTTTAAGGATAAGTGACATGATTAAATTACCCCATGATAAATTCCACCGATGACTGGCTGCCATAAAACCATCTCCTGCACCACAGTTTCAGAACCACAGATCTGTACAATGTTCCTAGAAAATTTGGCAAAGTCCACAGAAGACATTTAGATTAACTGTGTTCACAACATAGCTTTTGCCGCCTCCCTTTCTGTAATTTGTGGCCACTTTTTGAGGCAATTGGTCTCAGGAGTTTCAGTTGTAGATTATTAAATAGGCAGTTCATCCCAAAACTAAAAAAAGATATGTTTTAGAAGGGTCTTAGTGCTATCTTTCCTGGATATTGAAGACAATCCACAGGCTTTGTTAGCAGTTTAATTTAGGTACTATTTTCTTCTACGGAATCATTTCACTGTGCAAAAGATATCATCAAGGTACTCGTGCTCATATCTTCTGTGCAGTGATAGTTTGAACATTAAACTGCTTTACAGTAAGTGTGTGGATTATCTTCTATAACTGGGTCATGATTTCTGGTAAGAGACATTGCTGTTGAATTTTTCAGGTGTATTTTTCTGGTACTTTAATCACCACACAAATAATGCCATTCACTTTCATTATATTTGAGGGAAGCCTGACATCATACGGCTGATATTTTTTGCGCCATAAATACCGCAGTATTTATTACAACAAAATCACATCACGATATTTGAAAAATTTCCAATACCAAGCTGCCCTAGTATATTATACAAAATACTTTTATTTCTTCACTTGCCATCCTAATCTTCTTATATCTGTCCTTTCCAAAAGATTGCAATTTAAGATTCTTTTACTTTGTTTATCGTATGTTTTCCGAATTCATAACTTTTTCAAGAGGGTAGCTGTATTGTGTTTCAGAGGCAGGATATTTCCATAAGCAATCAACAAAGAAAGTGTTTGCAAGATCCGCCCGCCAAAGTGGCAAAGTACCGAAAAAGTACCCCAGCTAGTTTGGTGCTTTAGGTACTGGAACTTTTGGTACTGTTACTTGACCGGAAGTCACAGGGAAAGTACCGAAAGTACAATACCAAAAGTACTGTACCTAGTGTGGTAAAAGAGAGCCACAAGTGTCTTCTACAGCTGCCTTTTCTTTCCTTTGCTACCAGATAATACTACTGCTTTATTTGTGAGTGTCATCATACTGTCTGGGCTGCTGCATAGTTCAATGTGTTGTGCATGCGGTTCAAAAGCTGTACCCCCTGGTTGTGGATTCCAGGCTTGCTTGAGGCCAGTCTCACCTGTTCCATATTTATTAGGTTTTTAATTTTCTAGTGTTTATTATTTGGTGTATTTTCCTATTTTCAGGTTTTCCCCACTTCTGCAATGTTTTATTATTTCCTCCGGTTGGTGTTCCCCCTGTGTCTCCTTTTTTGGTGCCCCTTGTGCCTGTCTGCTTTCCCTGTCATTTTTTCCCCATCAGTTGTTGTCCTGGT